ACCATCATTTTCATTTTCACACACAACATTCCCTCTTCTTCCAGGAACACACAGAAAACCCACCTCTGTCTCAGGTTATGATAATGTCGTGGCGCCATAACGCACTTCATTGTCTGCCCAATTAGCTGAAACAATTATTACAACTTTGACTTTAATTACGTCTCAATTTGCCGCGCTGCTGTTTAACACTGCAGTGATTACAGCCCGTGGCCCCGGGCCTTCGGGGCCGCGCTGATTAGGACCTGTCAGCTGCTGCACGCGCAGGCAGCCATGCGTGATGTGCAACATGACCCGCTGTTGTTCAACCATGTCAACATATTAACCTGAATTCCCCAGTCATTATGGGCTGAATTGCCCACATAAGAAAAAAAAATGTACACATATGTGTGCGTAATTGAAAGAAATAGTGTTTTCTCAAGTCTATTAGCAGGGAGCGTGACGTCACTGAGAGTCAGGGCCTGTAGTTCAGACAACAGAAGATTCAATGAAAACCATGAATTGCAAACAAGCTGAAATACATATTTATTATCAGATATTATGCTGGATTAGGAGAGTGATGCAGTACTGTTATTAATATGATGTAATGTAACTACATTTACTCCAGGGCTGATCTTTAAACAATCAGGGTACTTCTCTAACTGAGTATGTTCACATCATGCTACTTTATATGTTTTCTCCACCAGTCTGTGCTAAGCAAATAATGTACTTACTGCACTACATCTATTTTACGTATTTAGTTACTAGTAATTTAGTAGATTAATTTGCAGTTTCTTGATATTTTTATTGAAACACATTAAATATGTTATGTTATAGGTTAAGCTACATGTATGTCAAGTAATTCAAATAAACCCTACTTTCACCAAGTGCAACATTAAAGTGATGAAAACATAAATGCATAAAAAATCATAAAATGTGAGTATTTTTACAATATACTATGCTACTTGTACTTAAGTAATTCATTTGAGCACTTCTTCCACCAGTGTAACTATTACATGAATCTGATGAGTCATGGGGTGATTACATGTAGGCCAACTGAAATAAAGAGGTTTGACAAGGCAGGCTGGTGTTTTGGGAGAGCCAAAAGGTTCATCTGAAGCACATTTGATCCTTGTCAAAATATATTGATTCATGTTCTTCCAGCAGACAGTTGATGTCTCCCTTCATTTCTGACTGGCCATCTGCACTGAGTGACTCCTGTTCTCTGGAGGCCAACACATAATGTCAGGGATCAACACATCAGTTACGAAATATGAAAATGATCTTTTCCCATTAAATCTGAGATATGACACAACATTCTGTAACACTTTCTATGAAGTAAATGTCTATATTAAATTATAATTGGGTTATAACACTGTGTAACTATTGTAAGCACTTAATTTGTATAATGCTTTATATCAGCAGTAATAAAACATTACAACACATTGTATGACCTACAATGTCAAGTATCATATCACAAAATATTGCTGTTCACTTTTTCCTCTATACTAAAAGCAAACAATAAGCACTTGTAGTAACTTATAGTTTCATGAAAATGCATTATGAAAGTGATTATAATGCATTATATAAAGGTCATAATGGTGGAATAATATTACACTATGGAAAGAAGTGTCAGTGAGCTTTTTGGAAATGTTGTGACACTTGACCATATGTCATTGAAAAAACCTATACAAATGTGTTATGATAGTTTATATATAGAATTCTGAATATTTATGAGTGCATGGATCTATTATTAAATTATACATAAACAGTTAACACATTATGTTAAGTCATAGAAGGTGCGACCCAAACCTCCCTCAATGATCATTTCTAAAAGATGATCAGTGATGTCAGAGTGTATGCATAATGCAGAGCAGATGCTCCTATATCTCCTATATCAAATAGTTCATATACTCTAGGTGCTTACAGATGAGGATTGTCCGAGTCCCGGCTGCAGACTGGGCCTCAGGTTTTTTTTATGAATTTCCCCTCAGCCACAATCAGTGCAGCCGAGTTTCCTTTGGTGTATCCAGAGGTGAATAATTTATGGGAGGATAAAAGCGTTTTTGGTAGAGAGCTAGACAGTCAGACAGGAGAAGGCTGGGAATCCCCCCCCCCAATCCCCATCTCAACCCCGCCCGCCCCGTGCCGCCTGGTGGCCTCGCACGGTGCTCCTCGGACGGCTGCTTGAAGTGCAAATCTGTGTTCCAACTTGTTCCCGGTGCCTGTCAGCATGTTTTCCTCTTGTCAGCAGCAGCAGTGTGGGCCCGTGTCACCCCCGCTCCGCCGCTGTAACAGGATCATTGACAGGCCAGTGACACTGCCCAACCACATAATGGAAACCTATTGATTTTTCTCCTTTTTTCCCCCTTTTCTCACACAGTAGCAGTCTGTGGCACTTTTGGAATAGCTGGCAGAAGGACAGGTCATGATCAATGGCCCTGATCTCTGGACTGCTGCTGCCAAAAACACAGCACTGACAAAAAAGTCCTGCAGTTAATGCTCACTTTCTCAGGACACAGCGATTACATGTTAAGTTCTGATGGTTTGAAGTTGGGTTCCATGAGTTATTATCCGTATTCACTTTATTACACTGAAAAATCTGAAAAGTTGACTTTAATTAAATGTATTATGTCAACAGATTTCACATAGGCCTAACTGAATTAGGTTGAAAGCAATAATATTAAGTTGAACACTATATTTTTTATTTAAACTACATATTATTGCTTTCAACTAAACATTTAAATAAAGTCAACGGTTCAGTTTTTCAGTGTAGATAGCGGTCAGAAGCATTAGCATGGGAGCTAAGCAGTGTTCTGCTTAGCTCCCATAGCTAAACTTATGTTTACCCCTAAAAAAAATCGATATCAGTAAGCTATATTTAGAATATTTTCACGGGTTTACCTTGCTGTCAAAATGTCCTTTATGACAGCTGAACCCTTAATCCATGATCTTTACAAAACCACTATGACTCCATTGACAAAAATAGTCATTTAAAGTTGCAAAACAGTAGAGTTTCTGGTCTACCACTGCCTTGATCAGTTGGTTAGTTTATGTGATTGTGACACTTTGGTAAATACAAACTAACCAGAGTAACTAAGATAATATAGTACTCCATTTCGTTTCTCCAAATCAGGGCCATGCTAAAAGCCATCTAATACTAAAATCTGAGAAAAGTAAGAGAAAAATACAAAATACAAAGAAAAATCCCTTTGACTATTCAAATAAAAAAAATCACCTATTAGCTAATAAGCAAAAATTCCAAAATCACAAAGTAATTCAGGTGTTCCAATGTTCCTTTTTTAATCAGCTATCAAGAAAGTGTGAATAAAATGCAGGTTTTCTGTGGAGTGCATACAGGGTTGGCGTTTGCCATTTTAATGGAGCAATCTCCAGGGAGGAGCCCCCCCTTTGATACCCATGGCAGTGATAAGCATGCTTTGGCTGCCTACCATTGGACACCCATGGCAGATGGCGAGTGAGGGTCCTGCAACAACACATTTCTTTATGTCGGCCTTGTCCCCTCTCTCTTCAGCCATTGGAATAATGAAAAGCCCAATTCTGGTCATGGCTAACTCAATCTCATTATAATCTCTCCTTTTTTATTCATTCGGCCCCTTGGGATGCTGTCTGCCAGCGATGTGGCTTTCAACCTCCAGAGAGAACATCTTTTGAAACAGCTAGGAGACCTAATGAAGTCACAGAGTGCCACAATTATTTCCCAAAGAAGGAACATTAATGTACTTCAAAATTCCCTCCGGAGAGGCATGATGACAATTGGTTTGTACAGCTTTGATCGCTGCTTTAAATACTGCCCAAGATAAACTGCAGGGTTAGCCCCCTTTGCCACTGGTAAGTAGAAAACCCAGGAGTGGCTATCATTGGATAGGCCTACATCAAATAATGTGCCTGTAACGCTAAAAAGTGGAGTTTAAAATAGCACATAGCCCTAAAAGTACTTCCTGTTGGGAATAATGGCACAACATCATACAGGAATCTGCATGTTTCACCCTGAAGAATTGCAACAAATAAAATGTGTAGTAGGCAGGGGAATAGTTCATCATGAAAGGGTCAGCTCCAGAGGATGCTAAAAGCTGTGTGTGCTCTATAGGGAGAGTGGAAACATTGTATATTAATACAACAGTAGACAGGGAAGTAGATACAGCACAGAGTATATAACATGATAAACACTAGACAACTTATATTGTCATTGATAAAATGCTCCAGAAATTCATATCGTTTTTATTTTGCAAAGAATGTGATTATGTTACTACCAAAGGATATCAATTTACTAAATGAGTGCCATTAGTATTATTTTCCCCCCTGCTTTATGGTGATTAAGACGTTAAAGGTTATTTAAAGCAAACACAAACATGGCGACGGTTGCTGCCCAAATCTTAAAATATCACTTCCTGTGCAGCACATTTTGTTCCCCTTAGAAGTTGTGCAAAAAAGATTTGTGAATTAGAGTAAGAATGATCTTGACATCTGGCTTTGGCTTGCTGTTCTTTGTTCTCCCTATTAGCACTAGCATGCTAACTTGCTGTTTCAAAGTACAATGATATGTTCACATCTGTCCCATGGTTGCTGCCTGGTCCCGGTCCAGGCCAATACATTACGGATGTTACTTACAAACAGGCTTTGAAAATCTTGGAATGCAAGGTACCATCATTCCCTCATAGAAATACCCTATAGATGTACAGTTTGTGTTTTAATGGACTTGCTCCTCAGCCTCAAATACATCCAGTTACAGAGCTGCAGCAGATTAACACCTCTTTACTTTAAATGCGCTTCATTATGTTGCTGTATTATTCCTAACCTCACTGTTTGAATCTCTTACTTCCATCAGAATCAGATTTTGTTTTTATCCCACAAGACATTGGGTTTTGTGACAATAAATTCAATACCATATGATATAAATAAATAGATAAAGATCCGCTGTAAACAGTATATATGTTACAAAAAGGGTCGATGAAAAAACTAGGAATTAAATAAGATGGCTAGAGTCACAAACAATATATCCTTAAGTGCTTTTATTAACATCCAAAATGCTGAAAGAACATAAAGCAACAAGGATACAGTCCAAAATAGAAAGAAAACAAACCTCAATATATATGTACAGGTCGAAGAAATATAACTGGTACCTCTCTGCTCTACAGCCACAGTCAGACTAACTCCAAAACACTTGTGGCCAGAGGTTTATATATGTTAAGCCCCTCCCCATAGGACAATCCACTATTTATACCCTTAATTACTGTTATTCTTATCATCTACAAACATATTCAAAATGTAGTTCAAACTAATTAAACACAATAAATCAAATAGGTCAACATATTCTACATTTCTGACCACAGAAGCCTTTTACACTTGGAAGAAAATTGTCACCCGTGCCCATGCACTACAGTACATGCATGCTCCAATTGAGCACACCACATACAGCTGTATCTTTACTTTCAAATAAAACCACAAGTTAATAAATAAGAGTTGACATATCATTTGTTGACATGACATGTTATTAATTAAACACAGATATAGCAGCATATAACATCGTGACTTCAGTGTTTTGTCTTTCTTTGTTTCTCGTTGGCTCTCCACATTGATATTCCAAAAGATACAGCTTATTCTCTGGAACACAATTTTCACCTGACGTTGAATGCCCAACACATTTGGCCACCATTTCTTCAAATTGAGTATTTTTTTGTCAGGCAGTTTGCTAGCGAACCACACAAGGCGAACCTTTAGTTAAACCTCTCCACAAAAACTGTAAATAATCTCTTCAATTTAACTAGAAGACATAATAAACTGTAGATCTACCCTCAAATCAGTACAGCATCTTCTTGAAACTGTTTTCTGGATGGGCCATGCTGTAATTCCCAAATCTACATTCAACTGTTGATGTAACTTATCAAATAATTACAAATAAATGTTTTCGTCTAACTATTTAAGAACAATTCACTTTATCTAAAAGATAACATCTGCAGTAAGCCAGAGTAGATGTAGTTTATTTGATAGAAATTGTAATATCTTAACGTGTATGTAAGGAAGCACTGCATGTCTACAATTTTAGAAAGCTGGATATTCCAAGAAAAATAGATAAATACATTTCATTACATTAGGTTATTAAAGCTAAATATTTATTTTATTTAGAATTTTTCTTCTTGCATTCTAGGTGTTATATAATAATGTGCATATCATTGGAGAAGCATAATTGAATAACAGAGACATTTATTTATTTTTTAAAGACGTTTTCTAATATGAAAATTGAAATCCTAAAATTGTAATATTCTACGAAGTATTTATGATAATGGCGACATGTGAGTTGAGTCTTTTGGCGTCGACTCACCCACTTCCTGTAGGTGCCGAAAAGAGGGTGAGAAGGACAAAGTGTATGACAACATGTCCTGGCAAAAGACAAAGTGCTATCTTCCAGTGACAAACCCGAAAAGTTCTACACATTTCAAATGATTTGTCGTCTTTTTACCTCGCATAGCCATTTCCCTGTCAAAGTATGGAAGAGTCTCTGCATCCTGCAAAACAAGCGCCACGTTTATGAAGAAACATATGGAGGGCAGGTTATCGAAATGCAAAAAAAGTGGCCAGTGGTTTTATAGAATATTTCAATTTCATTCTTAGTCATAGAAGAAAAAAAGCAACTAATTTAGGTCCAAAACTTCAGGAACGCAGATCTGGATGTTGAACACTATGCTGTTAATAACGGGGACGTTTCCTTGTTAGAGTTTTCTCTTTATCAAAAGATGTTATCGTGGCTATATTGAGAGGCTGTTTTCAGATGTAATGTTGCTGGTTGAAGGTTAAGCAGAACAAGCTGTCCTAACATCTTGAATGTCACTTTGATTAAGAAGGATGCTGCGTGTGATGCAGACACCGAGGTGAACTCCGACAGAGAACAGACTAATGACAGCCCTGTGTACACTGCTTAACAACACCTTATTTGATCTCCTCTCTAAAACTAAATGAGATATGAACTTAATTAAAAAGTGCAGGCTTTTTAAATCTTGCCAATATAGGACTGGCAACGCTTCTATTACATTTTGTTGTTGTGATAAAACGTTTCTAAGGAAAACAATATTGAGTAAAGTTTCTTTCTTGTAATGAGAAATGTACCTTTTCTGACCTAAATTGTCTTAAAACATATTGTATGTTGGACTGTTAGAGGAGCTTGGGACTTCAGCTTTTCATTGCCATGACAATAAGACCTATGAATCTTGAATTGAATCTTGAATACAAAGTTACAATACATTCAGAAATGTTCATATTTTCTTCATTTCATAATGAATATGATTTCTCATAAAATGCTTATGACAAGGCACTTTTCTTTATGAGAAACACATGTTCTAAAGATTGCAGCTCTGCAGACCAGTTTCCATTGAAGAGATGTCTGCTGCCCATTGTTTTGTCTAACTTATCTAGCAGTCAATACAGATCAATCTTATAAGCTTTCCTAGCTAAGTATAAGGCAAAGCATAACAGTAAAATATCCTATACATACATTTGTGCTAATTTAAACAGTTATATTAATATATCTTTTTAAGTAGTCTTGAGTTCACTATATATTTCTAGGACTAATCTAAAACAATTGATGGATTATACACATACAAACAATGTGCAAATTCAGGCAACTGGAGGTTCCAGATGGGTAGAACTCTACGTTGGATCTTGGTGCTCATGGGAAATCTGTACTTTGTGAAGACCCAAAACCTCCACCATCCCGGTCCCTGACTGAGGCACCCTGGTGTGCAGGAGGTGCCTCTGTAGATGCCTGATCCAATCCTCCTGGATAGACAGGGGGCCCTGGAAGACCAGGTCACAGAACCTGCAGAGGGAGGGGAGACCCGTCAGTTATTGTGCACTCATCTTCTCCCAGTGTGAGAAGTAAGCCATGCTTTCTCATATTACTTTATTTCTATTCAGACTATAAAGCGATCTATCCAGCAGTTACATATTCCATATGTTCATGGATTAGCCAGGGGGGGTCAGCAACATTTTCCATCATAACAAGTTAAAAAGTCTTCCCGCTGTCAGAAATGTATGTTTCTGGAAGAGGAGCGCCTTTGAAGTGCATTAGTAGAGGAGAGAACTCTAGAGAAGATTCTCTTAGTTGGTTAGTCGTCAGGCTTCTGTCAAACACCTTGGGCCTGTGAACAAAAAGAGCCAATGCTTCCATGTTCACCATGTGAATGTAGAGGGATGGGATTGTACTTCTTTGAGAGTTAAGGTTAGGTCCATCACTGTTCCCAGCATGCCTCTGGGTCACTGGTCAGGTGGAAGATCAGACAAGCAAGGACTTCCATGTAGTACACTGTGTACACTATCTACTTACTTTGGTCTGCGTGAATTTGGACAGGGTAGCGTTTTCTTCAACCAAACTCAGATTTTGTGCACTTATCCAAAAAGGCAATCGCAACATTTGCGACCCTTCCGCTACGTAGCCTAGTTGGTAACCAATGAGGCTACTCAACCTTTTGACCATCATGAGTTCAACTCATAATGCACTGTATTTTGCCATATCTGTTAGTGTGAACGCACTCAGAACAGCAAGTATGCTCATGGGAATACAACAAGGAGCAGGCGTACTCGATGCTCTGCTGACGTTAAAGGCCTGCTTAAAAAACAGAGAAACAAAACCAAATAGCAGGATCAATGCGATACATTTGTCCATATGTCACATGTCCGGTAAGCGTTAGAGTGTGGAAGCTAATTTCGGCCCCTGGGTCATTTCAATTTTTTAAGGGTATCAGATTGTGCTTGTCCCTAGATTCCAGGTCACCACTGGTTTTGGATGTAACTTAAAAGGATAGGAATGACAACTGGTCACTATTTTTTAGTGTGCTGGGTTATCTATTTCATTCAAGACCTACATATGAAATAGAGGTAGAAAGCACTCTCACTCACTCTTCCCTTAAAGAACCATGGTTAACCTTGAAATCTCTGTACCTGCAGGTGAGCGTGCATATCTCAGCATTTAAGGAGAGTAAAATCTTCTTCTTTAGCCCGGGCCTTGGCTTCTTCGGTTTATAATCATCGCCTAACAAGACAAAACAGTGCTGCTTAATCTGAGGGCATGTATTAAGTGATCACTGACAAAAGGCATAAATAAATAATCCCAAATCCAACTATTGCATTTAATACTGATATTTACTATTCTAGTTAACATGCATTTGAGATGGGCCGATTTATCTAATGTCTGAAGCATTACTCACAAATATGAACCACTTGATTCATGTGCTCAAAACAGATATTTCATGTAAACGAGACACATTTGCTGATATTTTGCATATCGTCAAAAATGTACCTGCATCTTGAAAAAGGGCAAACCTCTTCCTGTGTGCGTAGCCTCGAAGATGACCAGAAAGCCTGGGTAAAGTGTTGTTAAACCGAATAGAAATGTCATCCGAATCACATTCATCTGAAAGATAGAACAGTGAGAAAGAAATATTTAACTCAAAGAGAGAAAGGCAAATGAGGAAACTCAAATTATGTGATTATACTATCCATTTGCTCTAGATCAGCCAAAGATAGACACTGCATTATTAAGGAGAAAAGCATTATGGGATAGTGTTTGAGTTCATGCAGTAATTTTATTATCAAGCAAAGTGTTATTCCCAGTGTGTGCTAAAGTCTTCTTCCACCTGCTTTCATTCTAAGCAGCTGATTTGCACTCTCCTATTTGAAAAGTGTTCCTGTTAAAGTATAACACAATCTGGTGTCTTCGGGGGGGCTATGTTCACATACACCACCTCACGAGTGTCACAGAGAATTCATAAAAAATCACAGATGTGTTAGTCCTATGACAGAAATCTGGCAGAATGTGCTGTGAACCATTTCCTGTTAACGTGAACATTTGTGAAGAAGTTATCCCAAAAGATCTAACAAAATTAAAAAGTTAAAAACCTTTTTTCGCTTAAACAATGCTGAGAACAATGTCCTACCATTAGAAAAATGTCCATAAGTATTGAGCAAAAATGAGGTTAATATCAATCTAACTTGCCAATGAAAATATATTATCATATTATATTAACATTAACACCGTAATTATATATTTTACCTTATGTATTTAATCAGTTTCAGTACAGGAGAAATAAAGCCATCTTTGCGAGTACATTACAGATGTCACGGTAACACCATAATAACAGCAATAACCATACAATGTAGTTTAAAATAGAACTCCACAAAGAGTCCTTTCATTGTAAATCTTTATCTTTTATCTTATTTCTCTCAGAACCTGAATAAAAGTTGGATTTGGACAGACATTAAACACTGTTGTGAAAACACGGATGATGGGTTTCCAACTCCACATCAAGAGGACCTCATGATTTTTTAATATCAACTTCAAAAGCACTTTGGCGACATTCAGTGTTTTTTTCTTTTCCACCAATCAAATGATTGTGGACTATTGTTTAACTGACCCCCACCTGCAGTTTATGTGTAATGAGATATTGAAAATGTGTAATAAAATATTGATGAACATCAGAGAACTGAAAGCTAGTGTATACACAATTAATAGCAGACCCCCTTGCAATCGAACACAGCTAAAAATGTTTGATGTGTAGAAATCTCATGAATGATCCAGCTGAGCAGCAGTGTACTTCCAAGAAAAAGCGGGGGTTCCTGAAATGCTTCATATATCTTGAAAGAGATTTGGCCAAAAATCAACAAAACGGGTACATAAATGCTGACATTTGTATACCATTTTAGGATTTATTTACTTCTTAACTTCCTTCACCTTTTAAAAATACACTTGCAGAGATTTGAAATGCACCTAAGATGCTTTCCAATTAAGCTAAAGGGGCCCTCTTTTTCTCAAGTGTGTCTCTATTGGGACATGTCTCCATGTTTAATGTTCAAAAAGCTCATTATTTTTCTCATACTGCCTGTGCTGCAGCACCTCTGTTCACCCTCTGTCTGAAACCAGAGCCCAGTCTGCTCTGATTGGTTAGCTGGCCAGCTCTGTGGCGATTGGTGAAGCTCTTCGAGATATCCCGCCACAAAGCCAATCACTTACAATGTTTTGGAGCGCTAGCCAATAGCAGTGTGAGTGTCACATATAGATGTCATTATGTTACGGAAGTAAACAAAGGAGGCGTTTTAGGCACCTGGATACAGAACTGGATACAGCGTGGAGGCAGGACCCTGTTCATTCCTATGACAGTTGGGATTTTAACCTTTGCAGACCATTTACATGCACAAAAACAGAACACACTACTGGAAAGGGGAAACCCAAAAACGCATAATAGGGCCTCTTTAAGTTACTTTATGTACAATAGTGCTGGGCTTAAAAATACAAAACCACCCAAGTTGAAGATGTATCTTTACCGTGAACCCATTTTGGTTCCACACTGGTGATCTGGGTCTCCTCCATGTAATCTTTGGTCAGATCATAGAGCTCCTTGGTTCCATAAGCTTCCTGGTTGTGTCTCGCTGTGAGCTGCATACGTTCCTGTCTCATCTTGAGAAGACCAACTAAAGTGCTGGAAGAGGCCTTGGTGTCTAGTTGTGCTTCAGCCTCTGCCTCCTGTTTTGGCACGAAGCTGTCCAACATGAGAGCGGGGCTCCTCGTTTCATGCTGGGTCTTCAGTGGGATGCCCATGTGCATCAGGACCAGACTATTGCTGCTGATTAACTTCTGAGAGACAAAGGGTGGTGGGGGGGGGCTGGTTCTGGAGGATGTTCTGATGTTCCCTTTTGTCCTGCAGCAGTTCATTTAAGATGGACAGTGGAGACTTGCTGGTGCTGGTTGCACTCCTACCAATTCGTTTCAGGTGTCCCCTCACATGGTTGGAGAGGCCGGTCTTAGTATCAAACCACCCGCAGCACAGCGGACATGTGTGCTCTCCTTTGGTTTCTGGCTTTACAGCTGCAAGACCAGATGACATTTGTCAGAAAATAGCAACACAATATGATATGTTGATGATAGATCGCTTATTAATGCACATGCCCACTAGAGTCTCACATACCCAAAAGTAAATTTGAAGTGGCTCTAATATTTCTGTTTATCATAACAAAATCCTATGACAATGTGAAAACAATGTGACAGTGTAAAAGCGGTTGCTCATTGCATCTTAATAAGACTTTTATGGAGCTTTATAGTCAGTTTTAGCTCATTGTTAGCTGTTTAGCTGTACAGTAAGAAAGCTTTTTTTATAAACTAGTCGTGATTGACCTGCTCAGCACGAAATGGTACACAAACTGTTAGAAACTAACTGGTGAACAAAGTGGAACATTCAGCAGATTAAGATCCGGATATATACATTGTACAGAAATATAAACGCAACACTTTAGCTTTTGCTCCCATTTTTCATGAGCTGAAATCAAAGATCAAAGTCTTTTTCTATGAACACAACATTTGTCTTGTTTAATACTTTCTGTACTTCTAAAATAAAGACATTGGAGGATCTGAGTGACTTGTATAGGGTTATACAATGAAAGGCAGTCACTGATGTACAGTATGTCAGGGACAGCTTATGTAAAGCCTCATAAATCTTTAAAAGTGCTTTAAAATAAATTCTGAAAGACCTGTAACCAGTGCAGTGATGCCAGCACAGGGGAAATGTGATCCCTTTTTTGGTGTTTGTTAAAATCCTGGCCGCAGCATTCTGATAATGCACAGCCCCGTGTTGCAAGGAAAACATCTCAGTTCTCGCATGGCCTGCATATTTAACTGACATGTCACCCATTGAGCATGTTTGGGATGCGTATACGACAGCGTATTCAAGTTCCTGCCAATATCCAGCAACTTGGCACAGCCATTGAAGAGGAGTGGACCAACATTCCACAGGCCACAATCAACAACCTGATCAATTATTGTGACCAGGCACACCTGTGCAATAATCATGCTGTCTAATCAGAATCTGGATATGCCACACCTGTCAGGTGGATGGATTATCTTGGCAAAGGGGACGTTTTTTCAAATTTGTGAATTTCAACCTTTTATAATATCTTTACATGCCAAAAGCGGCATTTTGAGGTTAGGGTTGTAAATAACAACAACGATTTTAAGGTAGCATCTGCTTTAAGCTTAATGCTGCAAGTATGCATTCAGATATGCCCACAATGACATTGCTAACACATAATAATAATGTTCATCATGTTCACCATATTAGCTTAACATATTAGTTACAATTCAGGACGGAAGTGAATGTTCTGTACCAAATCTCATGGCAAACTAAACAAAGGATGTCCAGACATTTCACTTAAAAAAATGTGTTGAGTTGTTGCGGTTACCTTTTCTAATTTTCCTCATGGCACAGGGGATCCTTCTGCGTATCCGTGGCTGATGGTCGTGCAGTGCCACCTGCTCTGGTGAAACCATGTGTCGAGCGTTATAGCTCAAGCCGACTCGGTGCAGGTGCCCTCGCACGTGATTGGACAGGCCCACCCCGGACTCAAACATGGCGGGGCAGTACGGACAGGGCTTGTGTTCCACCCCCGGTGAGGGCAAAACATCAACGCTGTCACTTACAGGCATGCAAGGCAACTCTGGGGAATCATCACACACTGTGCTTTCAATGTGCTCCTCTTTGATTACCAGCTGCTCTATGTCACTACAGTCCTCATCTCCATCCTCTTCATTCTTGTACACATGCAGGCTTTGGTCTTTGGCTGAGAACCTCTGCCTCTTTGTGAAATACCTCCGAGCATACGGGTTCCTCACATTCTGGCTTTCTAAGAAGCTGCCTGTAGCTGCACTGCTGTCATCACTGGAGTTCTCCCTGCCCTCACAGCCTTTCTCTAACTCCTCATCTGCTGCACACCGTTTCCTGAGCCTCTGGCAAAGCTTTGCCGATATATTACCGTTCATGTTGTCAATAGTGCTATGCAAGGGTGTTGACATTTTTCTTATTGACAGAGAATTTTGGTTTGCTCGCAGTTGTAAACTCACGTTTTCGGGGTGGTTCTCGAAATCCAGACAGAACGTCTGGTCTAATTTAAGATTTCTGGCTGATGGTAAAAAATCAGCAGTCGCAGGACGGTTTGCCTGCTTTGAGCTGCCAAAAGCCTCGCAGTCATTGTTTTCAGAGTCTTTTTTCACATAGGTGAGATCAGTTGCCACATCTACATTTTGCTGTAGGAGTAGTTTTCCATGCCTGTCGACCCTCCACAAAGACGGCAAAAGCATGTTTTTAGAGCAGCACTGAAACTGAGGAGGATTTACAGTTTTGTCGCTGGACTTTTGAATGTAAATGCCCTCTGTTGTACTGGAGCGGTTGGGAAAATGGGCCGTTTCTCCGAGAGTCAAGAGATTTGGTTTAGACATGGCGATTTTGGGCTTGTTTGCAACCTTTTTAGAATCGCCATAGTTTGAACGCAGGTGCTTCAGCTCGGAACATCTTTCAATTATTACTTTATTTCTGCTTGTGAAAAAACTCATTCTACGCTGAACATGGTCCACTTCCTGTGCATCATCATTATGAGTCATTTTCCTGTACTTAGGCTGGTGTGTGTCGAGGTGTGCGACATGTATGTGTGCTTCAAGTGCCTGCTTTGTCAGAGTAATGTAGTCACACTCCTCACAGAAGTAGTAGTGCTTCAGATTATCATGCATTCTGGCATGCTGGACAGAGATCTTAGGGCAATTACAGCCGAACACACACCGAGGGCACTGCACTTTGGTGCCCCGGTCTGCGGATTCGGTGTTTTTGAGACCTTTGATTTCCTTCATACGTTTTTCCAGTCTGTCTTGGTGAATAATGATGTGCCTCATGAGGGAGTTGCTATCACAGAACAAACGCCCACATTCCCTGCATATAAAGGGCTGAGAGACACCCTCACTCTTCATCTGATTATGCTTGCCTAAATGATACATCATATGTCTATGGAAATGTCTTTTTTCCTTGAAATTAACATTGCATAGTGTGCATGAAAAGAAAAGTGTCTCTTGTTCCACTTGTTCTTTCTTCAGCTGTTCCACTTTTGAACTGAAATTGTCTTCATTTTCAGGGTCATTTCCCTCATTACAGCCTTCCTGCGCTGTGCTATAAATATGGCGTTTGGAGTCTGAAGCTGTGCTTGTAGAACTGCCTCTGAGTGGCACGCTGGAATATCTAATATCAGATTGAGTACACGAAGAATCGTCTTTGTTGGCAGTGTCAACATTTCCCAAATCATTGCCACTGGTGAAACAGCAGCGTCTGTATGTGTGATTTAAGCTGTTGTTAACCTTTTCCAGAGAGCCTGACATGCTTTTTACATGTGTATTGTGCTTGCTGTCCCTCTGGTGCATCACTTTGGTCTCCAGCCTTCTGTCATTGTGTGAGAAGCACTCTCTCTCTGAATCCCATCTGATTACTTTAGCGTCGTCATAATCATCCAAGGAGCTTTCTGAGCATTCTACGTCCCGTCGAGATCTTGTTTTCATTGTCTGTTTTGTCAAAGGTTGGCTAATGTGCATTTCCTCGCCGCTGTCTGCACCTGACAGTGTGGAACAGGCCAGTTTGGACTCATTCTCCTCCGAGTGAGACGATGGCGTGTTGACACCTGGCTGTGTGGCCGGGGTTTTTTCGACGGGCCCCGCTGTGTTCTTCCAAGCGTCTGATTGAAGCTCACTAGGTGGTGATAACACCTCGGGGCTCGTGTCCTTCTCCGCTTGCCACGCGGCATCCAGGACATTGTTGGATAAAATAGTGCCTTTGTTCAGGACACAGTGTACCTCTGAGGTGGGGTGTGAACCAGGTCCATTAACAAGTGCTCCTGAAGGCAATGAATTGCCTGCATGGGGAACAGCAGGGACACTGCTGTATACAAATGGATTCGGCTGGGTTCCATTTAAAGGGTTTTCGTGTTCATCTGAGGACAGACCTGCAGCATTGTACTTCAGGGACAATGTGTGACACTGTAATGGCTCCAGAGTACGACCTGGGCTGTCACATACCGACTCCACGTCTTCGTCCTCTTGTGCATTTGGCTTCAGATCTGACATAGTGGCAATACTTTCTGAAATATAAAAGAAAATTATTTTAATGAACTCTTTATTTCTAATCATTACAAGCAAGCTCAGTAAAGCAAACACCGTCTTATGATATGATATATTATTATTCTTCATTGGTAGAGCTCCTTGCATGTAAGAAATGCAACACAACGTGGTTTACAACAAGGGAATAATGGACATAAAAAAATACATAAAAACAGGGATAGAATGGCAGGTTAAAGGAAAATACAATGGGAATAAATCCAACTTGATAATAATAGTGAAAATAAAGTTAAGATGAAATAGAATACTTAGACTGAACAACATAAACCTACTGAATAATAATAATAATAATACATATAAATAAAAAGTTAAATACATAACAAATCTGTACCCAGCATGCACATCAATACACATGGCAGCAACACTAAAGTTCTACCAGCATAATATTCATTTTATTTTGGTATTCAACCATCCGAAGATAGTTTGAAGAAAAAACAAAGTACATACAAATTACAAAACTAAACACTGTTGCACAACACATAAAGTAGTTCACTTTTCTCATGCATGCTGATCATTTGGCTCAGTTAAAAAAGTATTTTCCTCCATAAAATGAGAGTGGTTTTATTCCGTGCTGCATTATGATTTTCCAACACCCTCTTTCGCCACTTCTATTCACAACAAACCCCGCTGTTAGCCCTGAATACCCTGGCGAGGATGCTTAATTATGTGAGGGTTCCTCTGGGACGCAACCTTCCTGCGTCTCCACCTCGAGTTCTCAGTCGTCTGCTAAAATTGACCAATTTCCATGGGAACAAAGTACACCTCCGATGAGATCATATTGCGTCTTATCACTCTGTGATGGTGCCAACACGGAGCACAGCATGAGACTGTTGTTACTTGAATCCTGACAAATTGGCAGGCACACAATCTGTTTAAAATACAAACAAAGACCCGCACAAAGAAGACATATGCCTTCGCAATCAGGGTTGGGAGGGTTACTTTAAATATGTAATCTGTTACAATAACTAGTTACATGTAATCAGTGACCTAATCTATGTATCAAAATATAAATGTTATGTAACCTGATTACTTCCTGTTACTTTTGATTATAAATAACAATAAGATGATTTTTACGTTAAGTGTGTGTAACAATGTAACCTTAGAAAAGAAGAAACCAAGATATTTCATATCAAACATGTAGTAACAGTAATAGTTAAAATAAAAATGCTGTTTAAGCTTAATACATGAATCAAAAGCAAGCTGCATTTTTTGTTTAATAAATCAGGTGTTCACCCACTGCATTAAGATATAAATGTATTTAAAATAAAGAAGAATTAAAGTAGCCTAAATACAAGCCATAAAGAAAATGTATTCAGCACGTCTACCTGTAATATATATCAACCTTTATTTCAAAAAGTGCTGTAATACTTTAATCGTGCTAGTAATATCAATGTTTTATGTAACAGTAATCTGATTACTTATTTTTATGTTATTGTAATCAAATACAGTTACCTTTTTTTATATCCTGATTACATAAACTCATTACATGTAAACCGTATTTCCCCAACCCTGTTTCTTCCCTAATTATACTATGAACTATTCAATTGGTTATTAAATAGGATCATATTAAGGATTAAATTAAACATGTGTATGCTACATTTTATAACAGATTACACCCTGCAGTCCAGAGCTGATTTATTTCTAAACGTATGCTCTGTGGATTTGACATCCAGGGTGGCTCTCTCTACAGGAAGCTGTGTTGCTAACGAAGTGATAAATTCAGTGTTAATGAGTGGCTTCACTGTTACCACCTCAGAGGTAAAACCTTCCGAGCTCCATATTCTCCCCATCTGTTGTGGTGTAAGAGGTTGGAGGGGAGAACAGACGCTCTCCATTTAAAACCGACTTCACTGTTACCCCCAAACGGCAGGGTGGCAAAACCATCAAAATATCTTGGTTGGAATTGTGTAAGCCTCATTAGCAGCCAACTCACGCAACCCGAGTCTATATATAACGAACGCGGGTTCAACAGAAATGTAATTTTTATGAATCTATTTGCCTCTATTTACTTCATTTAGTCAATGTTAAAAGGCTGACTTTGCCTGGAGATATTTACAGGGATTATGAGCTTTAATGCTGTTAAGCTGTATGCACAGATCAATCTGTGATGAGCCGTGCTAACCTTGCCTGCTACGTTCCCCAAACACTCACCTCCTTTTCAGTTTGGTAAATTAGATTTATGGGCGCCTCATCATCATTGTGTTCTGTTAGACAATAGAAAGCAAACAATCATTAGTGTGAATGCTGTTTACAGCATTCCACTATAGTTCTTCAAATCTTTAATCTTCTTCTCCTTATTTCAACCAATATTTTGCCGTTGAATAACTTTAGCCTACTTTCAGCTACAGAAACCATTCAAATATTAAAATGTTCAGCATTTTCCGCACATGATGGGAAACTTTTCAAAATATGTTATACTTTTTGAAATATTCAGCTTTTTAAACTCTTTTTTAACATGTAATTCAATGGGAGGAACCTTCAAATCCTCTTTTACCTACACCGTGTGCCAAATGCTATACAGTACTCCTTCCTCATACTTTCAGCTAGAGACTTCATTCCAACTTTAAAATGATCACAAGACCTTCAGCTATAAAACTTGTACTTCAGATTTTTCATATCTTTTACACTTTGAGATATTTAACTTAGTTTGGAGCTTGGTAAAGAGGCCTTCTTCAGATTTTAACATTAGTGGGTATTGCGCATCTCATTAAGGCTACACTAATCAAATAAGTAAATAATACTATGATTATGTGTTTAAATTATACAAGAAATTACTAATAATTTTCTTTTACTCAAAATCTCTCCTATTATTTAATGTGTTACTTGAATTTATGGAGTAATTTTGTATCTTCATTTTGATAAGTAAATGTAAATCATAGCACCAAGTAAATGTTAACTAAAGTAATGTGTTGACCTACAACCTGTGAAAAGCTAGTCAAATGTACCTGGGCAATTTGAGTAAAGGTGGCCGACGCCCCCGATGACGTCAGAGGAGTTTGCGCACGGTACAGACATTTGCAAAAAGCAGACGGTTCCAGTAGAAGAGATGAAAGCATGAACGCATGGACCCTCGTCTAATATGAATACTCGCGGATTTTGAATCATGCAAGTATATTTTTGTACTTTATTAACTCTGTACATCCCCGTTAGCTTGTCAGCTTAATATGGATGTCAAACAAATGTTAGCTAACGTCAGTGTTTCAGCTTAGCAATTTAGCTAGTTAGCGTGCTTGCTAATTTAGCCTGCTGTCATGGACGAGGCACACACAACATGTAGCCTAATACTTAGTGGTTTAGTAGTTGCTTCAAATTAGTTAACAGTTGGCGAGATTCACCATTTTGAATAAAACATGTGGCAGTGGGGCACCGCACTAGTAGTTCAGAAGAGTTTTTTTGTTGGTGGTGTTCGCGCTACATTTTCAAATCCTGCTCGGTTTTGATTGATTGAAAAGTTTATTAACAGCTTGTATATTGGGTACAGTACAGTACAGCTCAAAACATACAATTGTTAAGGGGATGCAGACCAGAGAAAGACTTTCGTCTTGTTTACATCAGGGTCCCCCATTTCCAATTCATCATGTCATTTAAGACATATAAGACATATTTGACATACAGATGGCTTATTTACAATTTACATACAGGTGGTTTTTTTACATACAGATTGCTTATTTATAATTTTCATTTTAGATTTCGTTCTAATACATCCTAACCGGACATTTAAGACATACCAAGTCTACAGATATACAGTTAGTAACAGAGTCTAAAATGCGAGTATATACATAGATGGGGGGGGGGGGAAGCTGTCCATTGAACGACAGGTTGAGATTTGTACCATTACCGGGGCCAGTTTTGCAATGCTCTCCCCCGAAGGTGCTCTTTAAGAGAGGTTTTGAAGGTAAGTATAGTTTTACTTTCCTTTACAGTTGTGGGAAGAGCGTTCCACCTTGATGTGGCATAATTGCGAAACGTGTATTCCCCCTTTTTTGTGCCAAATCTGGGTTTCACATGATTTGTGGAGCTCCCTCTGGTGTTATGATCATGGTATTCCTTGACCTTTGGGAAGAATTTTGACATGTACATGGGTACCATAGAGGTGTAGTGGATCTCGTAGACCAGGCCCATTGCAAGTAGCTGTACTCTGTCGTCTACTCTAAGCCATCCTAGGTTGTCAAAGTGGGCAGAGGTGAGGTGGGTTCTAGATGAAAGGTGAAGCAGTAGTCTGACCAGTTTATTTTGCGATGTTTGAAGTTTTATTTTTAGCGCCTTGGAGGTGCTATGGTACCATGACGTGCAAGCATAGTCATAGTACCCTTGAATGAGTGCTCCTGCCAGAGTTTTCAGGGTGTTTTTGTTTACCAGAGAGGAGATCCGGTATAGGAATCTAGTTCTTTGATTGACTTTTTTATTACATTGGATGCCATTTTGTCACAGGAGAGGTTTGCCTCAAGAATAGATCCTAGGTATGTAATTTCCTTCTTACTTGTGACAATAATGTCGCCCACTGCAACTGAGAAGTCGTCGGATTTGCTGAGATTATGTTTCGAACCGAAGAGAATGGACTCTGTTTTACCCAGGTGTAATGATAATTTATTATCGGCGAGCCAGGTGCAGATTCTGCCGAGCTCGGAGCTGAGGGTTTTTTCAACCTGCAACCTGTTCCTGTCAGAGACCAGCAGGGCTGAGTCGTCCGCGAACAGGAACAAGTTGCAGTCACATGCTGATGACATGTCATTTGCATAAATTAGGAACAGTAACGGACCTAATATGCTTCCTTGTGGAACACCACAGCTCACTGGGAGGGGGGGGGACAGAGTACCGTTTACCTCCACCATCTGTTCTCTCCCCTCCAGGTAGGATTGCATCCAGCTCACCGATAGTTTATCAAAACCAATGGCTTTTAGCTTGTCAATCAGAATGGGGTGATTGACAGTGTCGAAAGCCTTTTGTAGGTCCAGCATCACCA